TAATGTACATTTTATTAAGTTATAACTATGAACTTATCCGTTGTGGAATACATTTCCTATTTACATATATGCTAACGAAAACTCTCGTTGTATATTAGAAGGAGAGGCAGTTTTTAAGGCTGATCATGTGGTACTATATGGGAAAATTGAGCAAAGTTAATTTAAATTTAGAAATTTATATTATGTCTGCAGACTAGTGCCCTTACTTACTAACAACCCTCATGAAATTCAGGGAGTATTATCTATCGGCAATAATATTTTGAAAATTTCTTCAATGGTTTGATGAAAACTTATTTCTGGATTTTTCTTGGACCATGAAGAGCAACCTTGAACTGAACAATAATAGTTTGACAGTTGCTTCTTTCTATCCATAATTGCTGAAGTTTTCCTCACACTATTTTCTTAAAATAACAGTGTTCAAAAAACGAACACTAAACACAGTTTTAAATAAAATACAAAACGAAATGTCACACACAGAAGAAATGTTTACCTTACTTCGATAGTATCAACTGTCACCGCCAGAGGGCGAGCTCTTAGCTGCATTCGCGAATACTGTTGCTGATGCTGCTCCGGTTTCAATATCGATATTGTTTTAAATTTTCTTAATATTCCCTTTTCCTTTAAATTTTCATTTCATATGTAATTTTTTTTTCAATTTATTGCCAAAGTCCTGCCCCCTTTCAATATATACATTAGTACAAAAATAATACTATTTACAAATAAATCACAGTATTGTGTCGGTATCTGCAAGTTTTTAAATCCAATTTTTGTAATTTGTTTTATACAAAATTATTCATAATCAGGATAATACCACGCATATCACTTAAAACGTCTTCAAATGCAACAGAAATACAGCAAGCTGGTATTAATATAATAAAAAAAGTAATATGTAAAAAAAAGTTGCAATATTTCGCATAATATGGTGAACAGTAATATAGTAATTTTTCCGTGTACTCGTACAGGGTGATCGAGAATGATTGACCGTGCCGCCTCATACAGATATTACATGTGCGGCATACCAGTTTTTGATACCAATACTAGAATCATGAGCGCAGGTTGAGGAATTTTAATGGTAAACAAATAATTATGTTCAAACGTCAAATAAATTAGGTTACTGTCAAAATTGAAATTCATTCAAATGTTCAGCCCAAAAATTTGCGCTGAACATTTTTGTTAGCTGTCGAAATTCAGGAAAAGTGACTTAAAAACGTTTGCTTCAAGCAAATGCAATGCTTGATTATGTTAGATGGTAGGATTGTCTATATGACCGGGAGCAATAAACAACAGTTACATGCAATATGTAATAACAGAGTAATTGGACTTTTTTCACATTTTATTGAATATTTTACCTTAAAATTACATAAAATCCATAAAAATATCTATATTTTTACAATAAATGTTCAATATGATGTCCATTGTTGTTCAAGCAAGTATTAATTCTGCTTTTCATATTATTAAATACATTCTGTAAAACATTTTGTGTAATACTCCTAATTTCGTTTGTAATTGCCTCTTGAAGTTCTTCAATCGTGTGTAACCGTTGAGCAAATACTGAATTTTTTAAAAAACCAAATAAATAATAGCCTAGGGGTGTAAGGTCAGGAAAACATGGTGGCCATCTTTCTCGACTAATTATTCGATCAAAATAATACTCTCTAATCAACTCTAAAGTTTCGTTAGAGGTGTGAGCTGTTGCGCCATCTTCCTGAAAGTATCCATGATGGATTTCATCGTCGTGAAGTTCCTCAAAAAATGGTAAAAATATTTGCTGCCGATATACCTGCCCAGTTACATTTTCACGGAAAAAATATGGTCCGATTATTCTTTTACGTGACATAGCTACCCAAACACCAAGTTTAATAGGGTGCAGAGTTGTTTCACGCAAAATATTAGGGTGTTCTGTGTTCCAAGAGCGATAATTTTGGGATTTTACATATCCACTTAAATGAAACCATGCTCCATCAGAAAAAAAATGTTAGATCTAGAATATCGTCGTCATTCAGATTTAGTAGTTCCTGCACAACACTAACATTATAAGGATGAAAATGCAACTTCTTTACTGCTTTATGGCATGATTCATATGATATTCCTATAAACAATTTAGGAATAATCATACAAATTTTAGAATAAATAATTGTTATTACCTGTTTGAGCAGATAACTGACGTAATGATTTGGTTGGACTAGCTCGTAAGCGGTTTTCAACATCTTCCAAGACTTCCTCTGTAAGAATAGACTTTCTGCCTGGAGATTTTCCTCTACAAACACTTCCACTGTTATGGAAGCGTTCCACTAATCTCTTCATGTGTCTAGAAAAAGTGTCATAATCATCAATTTCATCGTTTGGAAATTGTTCTTGAAATTGTAAATGACACGAATTCATGGAATATTTCCAACCATTATCATTGTTTTGTCCGCTACGAAAATAGGCCTCCAGAAGAAATTTATCATGTTCTAATGAAAATGTCATGTTCTTAACCTAAATTAAAAAAACGACTAGGTTAGGGAACAACATACGCAATAAACTAATTACTCACGTATAATATCCACCTACTCTAACTGTAGTATTGAAAAATACTGTTTTATAATGTCGCAAAATATAGCAGGTAACAACAAAATCTACAAAATAATATTCAAGCCAAAAAATCCGCGGGCCAATGAACAGAATGTCAAATTGTGAAGTCGCCACAGAACACCATGAAATCGTACGGAAAAAAAGTAATTTTAGCCAACGGAAATCAGTTTTGATAGCAATTGAGATAGGGTACGTTCAGAATCCGGTCAATCATTCTCGATCTCTCTGTATATTCGAAACATATGATAAAATTTATTCCAGAATTCCACTCTGGGCTGGCTGCTTGATCACCATCGTCGACACATTCACCTTCCTCTTCCTCGACAAATACGGACTGCGAAAATTGGAGCTCTTTTTCTGCGTACTGATCGGCGTCATGGGCATCACCTTCGGTTATGAATACGTCGTCGCCGAACCCACACAGTCCGAGGTCCTGAAAGGACTCTTCATCCCAAGGTGTGTCGACTGCAACCATGAGGTCGTACTGCAAGCTGTAGGAGTCATAGGGGCGGTCATTATGCCTCATAACTTGTACCTGCATTCCGCTCTGGTGAAATCTAGGGAGATAGACAGGAAGGAGCCTAAGAGGCTAAAGGAAGCCAAGAAGTACTATTTTATTGAAAGCTCTCTAGCACTGCTAGTTAGTTTGATTATCAACATTTTCGTTGTTGCTGTATTTGCTTATGGATTATTTGAGAAGACGAATCAGCAGCTGGTAAGAATATTCTTAGTGTATTAATGCAAATCCTTACGTGATTTACTTTGTTCTAGTTGGACCAATGTAGCGATGACGAGTTTATGTATAACAAGGCAAAGGAGGTGTTCCAGGTAAATATTTTCAAATTTGTGAATACATTTTGTAATTACATCTTTTGCTGTTGGAGAGAGATTATAATTTTTGAGATCGCTAATGATGCAAAGCGTATTTTACTAATAATGTCGATTCCAAGACTTATTCTAAATTGCATTACATCTTCTGGGAATTTCTGCCTCGGGAGTATCTTGCCACCATTTTTGGGCTTAAGTGTCTTAATAACGTAATGTAGTAAGATAAATCGGACTCCTATAGGGCTATAAAGGGTGTCCCGAAATTAGGGGGCAATACTTCTGTCGAAAAAGATTACTTTTTCCTTATATAAACGTGGGTCCAAAATTCTTCCTAAGGAAGTTATAGCCACTTAAGGGACCACATAAAACGAAATTTACAAATTTTCATCACATACGTTTAACACTGGGTGTGGGGAGGGGGGTAAAATCTACCATAACTTTTTCGATTTTTGACTGAAAAGTATGAAATAATGAGTTTCTTAGTTTCTTAATAAAGGTACTCTACTAGTGGAATGTTCCATTTTTGTGTAAAATCCGTTTAAAAATAATGTTACAAGTGTTAATCACCGATAATCGAAATTATCAATATTTTTTATCGTCTCAGGTTTTGAATAACAAAAATGCGTTTGGCGTCATTTGCATTGACAGTTCAGTTATTTACTTTTTGCGAATTGTTATCATTTCACATTTTATGAATCTAGAGCTAGCGATATTCATAATACCCATTTCTGGTCAGACGAAAATCCACGGGCAATACGGCGCACTTTTCAAGATAGATTTGCAATAAATGTGTGGACAGGAATTTTGGGGGACCAGCTATTTGGACCAATTCAGTTTCTCGTTTGTCTGAATGCAGAAAGATACTTAAACTTTCTGCAAAATGATGTAAGAAAACTATTGTATGATACACCGTTAGACGTAGGCTTAACGCTACACTATCAACAAGATGGGGCACCCATAATGTCATAAATTTGTTTAAACGATCATCTGGCAGGTGGATAGGTAGAGGCTATAATTTACGCTAAAGAAATAAATCCTTCGGAAGAATTACAACAGAGGATTCATTTGGCTGCGAATCAAATCAGACGAAATAATTTTGATTTTTGAAGTGTTCGCGGACAATTCGACGTCGAGCTGAAAAATGTATTCAGCAAAATGGAAATCTTTTTGAGCATTTGCTATAAAAATTACTATTGAGATAAAGGTAAGTTTTATTAATGGTGTGGTTTATTTTTATTAGTTTTTTGTATTACTATTTAATCATTTCAATTGTTTTTTTTACTTTGTCAAATAATAATTTATAAAAAATAATAAATTTCTGTGAAAATAACAATTCGCAAAAAGTAAATAACTGAACTGTCAATGCAAATTTCGATTTCGTGATTAACACAATCATGTAACATTATTTTGAAATGGATTTTACATAAAAAATGGATCATCTGAACCAAGAGTACCTTTTTTTAATAAAAAACTGATATTTCATACTTTTCAGTCAAAAGTCAAAGCGTAAAAAAGTTATGGTAGGTACGGTACAATAGAAAATATTGATAATTTCGATTCTCGGTGATTAACACAATCATCATTATTTTTTAACGGAATTTACACAAAAACACAACATTCTACCTATCTAAACCAAGAGTACCTTTTTTTACTAAAAAACTGATTTTTCATAAGTCAAAAAAGTCAAAGCGTAAAAAAGTTATGGTAAATTTTAAATCTGGCTAACTCATCAGTCTTTTCATCACTCCGATGATTTGGAATTTCTAGGCTTTGACCTTGTGAACAAGATTTCCTTTATTCCTAAAAAACTATGATATCTCTCTGTTCCTCGTATATTTTCATATTTTAACTGCATCTTCTAATTAGAAGTATCACCTATATACGTTATTACAATTTTATTTCCAGAATAATACGGAGTTTGTAGATGCAGACATCTACAAGGGCGGTATATTTTTGGGCTGCGCATACGGAGCGGCAGCTATGTATATTTGGGCGATAGGCATCCTAGCTGCTGGTCAAAGCTCCACCATGACCGGCACCTACGCCGGCCAGTTCGCCATGGAGGGCTTCCTGAACATCAAGTGGGCCATGTGGAAGAGAACTCTCTTCACCAGGAGCATCGCCATGATCCCTACCTTCTTCACGGCATTCTTCAGTTCCTTGTCCGACCTCACCAGCCTCAATGACTATCTGAATGCCGTGATGAGTGTCCAATTGCCCTTCGCTCTCATTCCTTGTATAGCCTTCACCAGCAATCCCAAGATCATGGGACAGTTCGTCAATGGGATGTAAGTAAAACTTATTTTCGAAACAATTGCTTAAAAGGTGGCCATATCCCTGGCCGATAAATAGTCAAATTTCTGGCGTTTTTAGGTACTGAAATCTTGAAAAGTAAAACGTGTAGAACAAAAGTAAGCACAAAAATAAAATCCTTGATGTTCTGTTTATTCATTGTTACTATTTAAATTTACTCAAATAAAATAATAACTCAAAAAGAGTATTTGTAAACATGCGTTTGCTGTTATCCTAACCCCACATTTTAAGAATTATTTTCACATACATTTATAAATAAAAGTAAACAATATATATATGTGTAAGACTAAGCAAGTAAATGTTATAAGAATATTTACATGTGGAGTTATATATAAAAAGTTAGTATTTTCGTAGATTTCAGTACCTAAAACCTTGATGGTTTGATCGTTTTTTGCACCTGTTTATTCGTTTTACTGCGGCGTCTTTGAAAATGCTCGGATGGTATGCTCGGATGGTATAACATCCCTATTATTTGATAAGCTTTAGAATATTCAGTTATTAAATGTTTGAAATTACACAGGTCAACATTTGATCTAGGAATATTCACCGGACCTGACCAGGGAACTTATAGGTTCTTTGGATCGCTGATTCCGAATCCGAGGTTACCTAAGCTCCATCACGTCAGGTTCAAGGTCATTTGAAGGTCAAATGGCCAAAAATGGTCTAAAAAATCAGAAAAAATTCATACGTATGTTTTTGGGGTAGCTGAGTTCAAAGCCGCTGCTATTTTTACCATTCAAAGACATCTAAAGGTCGTATCAAGGTCATTTGGAGGTCAAATCGAGAAATATGGTCTAAAAAATCTGAGAAAATTTANCAAAGCCGCTGCTATTTTTACCATTCAAAGACATCTAAAGGTCGTATCAAGGTCATTTGGAGGTCAAATCGAGAAATATGGTCTAAAAAATCTGAGAAAATTTATACGTACGTTTTTGGAGTAGTTGAGTTAAAATCCGCTGTCAGTTTCACCCCTGAAGAACATCTGAAGGTCATATCAAGGTCATTTGAAGGTCAAATCGAAAAAATCGGTCTAAAAAATCTGAAAAAAATTATACGTATATTTTTAAGGTTGCTGAGTTTAAATTCAATATTACTTTTACTGTTATGAACATCTGAAAGTCATTTCAAAATCATTAGAAGGTCAAACGAAGAAAAATTTGGAAAAATTTATAACTATACTGTGATGTAATCTAAAAACGTCTAAAGATCATTTCAAGGTTATTTTTTAATCAGTCCAAGGTCAATTATTGTTCATTTAAAAGATAAATTAAGAAGATTTTCTTTTAAAAATGAAAGTGTATGTATGTTTTTGGAACCATTGCATTTCTTATTTCATCCTGCAAGGTCACTTAAAGGAAATTTTGAGGAACATTCACTCGTCTTGCCTTAACTAGCTGGACACACTCTTGTTCATGCCTTAACTGGCTAGGACATTCACTCGTCTTGCCTTAATTGGCTGGACACGCTTATATTTCTACCTAACTGACCGGAAAATTGCCTTAACTGGCTAGCCTCCTTTATGTTTTCGCCTCATTCGGTCAGGAGTCGTATACATACATACACATTTTTTAGATCGATTTTCTCGATTTAACCTCGACATGACCTTGATACGAGCTTTAGATGTACTTAAATGGTGAAAATAACAGCGGCTTTGAACTCAGCTAGCCCAAAAACATACGTATAATTTTTTTCAGATTTTTTAGACCGATTTTCTCGATTTGACCTTCAAATTACCTTGATACGACCTTCAGGGGTGAAACTGACAGCGGATTTTAACTCAGCTACTCCAAAAACGTACGTATAAATTTTCTCAGATTTTTTAGACCATATTTCTCGATTTGACCTCCAAATGACTTTGATACGACCTTTAGATGTCTTTGAATGGTAAAAATAGCAGCGGCTTTGAACTCGGCTACCCCAAAAACAAACGTATGAATTTTTTTAGGTTTTTTAGAACATTTTTGGCCATTTGACCTTCAAATTACCTTGAACCTGACGTGATGGAGCTTAGCGAACCTCGGATTTGGAATCAGCTTTCCAAAAAACCTATAAGTACCCTGGTCAGGTCCGGTGATTATTCTTAGATCAAATGTTGACCTGTGTTATTTATCTTTGTGGAAAACACTATTTAAAGAATACGGCGCCCTTAAAATAATCGCATATTTCTCTGTTACAGATGGATCAAAATAGTATCCATAATTCTAAGTGTCATCATCGTGGGAATAAACATTTATTTTGTCGCAGAACAACTTATTGAGCTAGATTTAGCCGTCGGTTGGCAGGTATTGGTTTATATAATAACGATTCTTTACTTTTTGCTTATAGTTTATATTAGTATACACATGTATATATCGATGGGTGGTACGAAACTAGAGAACAATGAATTTATGCAGAAATATGTTTATATACCAATTCAGCCGGTCACTGCGAATGGTGCGTGAGATATTTATTAGTTTTATTTAAATAATTACTGTACATATTAACGAATAAATTATTTTATTTTTTATTAATTTAGCATTATTTTTTCCAAACTCCCTATAAAACAAACTGATAAAACACATACCCTGTATATTGCAGTATTTTATTCATTTCCTCATTCATTTTTTGTGAAGGTACCGGAAATATAAATCCGTTGTTTGAAAAGTGGATGATGAAACTATTTGATGTATACAGGGTGTTTCTAAAATAGGGTTCCAAACTTCTGTTGCGTTTATAACTCATTAAAATAAGCCAAAAAGTTCCTATTAACATGTGCCCTAAAACGCACCCTTAGGAAGTTACATGCCCTTAAAAGGGCTCAAACAAAACTATTTTTTTTTGCGAACTCGAGCCAATAGATTCTTTGTAAACTATATCTTTCATTCGAGACCATGTACAAAAATCAAAAGGATTGAAGTCCGGAAGTAGTCAAGCAAAAATGCTTACATAGCCAATCCAGCGATTTGTGAAAACTGCATTTAAATATGCACGCACTGGCCGAGAAAAATGCGGTGGAGCTCTGTCGTGCATGAACTACATGCCTCTTCTTAAATAAAGTAGAATTTCTTCAAGCCGAGGAAGCATTTTTGCTTGGCCACCCAGAAGTCTGGACTTCAATCCTCTTGATTTTTGTACTTGGTCTCGAATGAAAGAGTTTACAAAGAATCTATTGGCTCGCGTGAAGAGTTGTGGCAAAGACTACAAATCGCTGCCAACGAAGTCAAACGCAATCCCAATATGTTGTTTCAAACTCGAAGATCTCTCAGAAAACGTTGTGTAAAGTGTATAAGTGTAAACGATCGATTCTTCGAACAATTACTTTAAATCATTATTACGAATTTAATTTGTTTTATTGTTAATTGTTGTAATAACATGAAGAAACACTTGATTTGTTTCGCTTTTAATTTATCGTATTATCAAAACATAGTGTTCATTAAATCGATTTTTCTCGAAAACGGATCGAGATACCGAAATGAAACAAGAATACATAATTAATGGAAAAATGATTGCTCTTTCAGGTTTTGAATCAAGTTTCATATTAGACATACAGGGTAAAAAGTTCAAGTTCCCAACCTACATATTTTCAGGATAATCGCAGAAAAACGATTTAAAATTTTAACTTTCAACACCGTGTATTTCCGAAACTATTAATTTTCGGATAAGGCATGTTTGACGTATAGTATCTTCAGCTTTCGATTTTCACATTGTTAATGAATCAATTGTATAGTAATGTGATTAGGTATAGTAAAAATGATATTATATGTACAAAAAGAAACAAAATATAAATAATACTTTATTATTTCTTTTTAATTAAATACGTTTTCACTTAATAGAAAAATATACATATAGATGTTACAATCTTAAGCTTCAGATACAACTAATTAGGGTGATAAAAAAGTTCTGTTTCTGGACCAGAAATGCTAACCATCGGTGGTAAGCCATTCTACTTTAATATACAGGGTGTTTTTGAATGGAGTAGCATAAATAATACCAGTGAATCTACATTTCAAAAGAACACGATCTGCAAAAAATCGCCTTAGTAAAATGTTCACCCCTGAAGAGATATATGGGCCATCAGTTTCCAAAAAAATTATGAAAATTGGCTGAAGTTTGAAAACCGATCGAGGTACAAATAACAAATTTTTTACGGGTTGTTTACTAATACAGATGCGAGTTTTCAACTATTTTTCGAAAATTTTAACCCCTCGGATGTGGATGAAATAACCACCCCACAAGCCATTTTTTGCCATAACTTTTATATTTCGTAAAAACTCGATATCCAAAAATACGCATTAGATAAACTGGTTCTTTTAGAAACTTTGACCTCTCTAGCAATTTTCCTTTAAAACTTTTCGTTTATTAATAAAAAAATAAAATGTATTACCATTCACCTCACACCGTATATGATTGCAATCAATCAAAGAAAAACTAAGTGTGCTGCTGTCATGCCAGTTGTCACAATTAACTCTTCTGTAAGTTGTCACTGTTATCAGCTAAATACTTTTTGGGTGTAAATTAACAAGAATTATGCCAAATTTTACTAATGATGAATATGTGGACATGCTACAAGTGTTTTTTTCTACGATCGTGCAAAATTTACTACTTATTGCACTACCTACTGTGCCAAAAGTTTAACTTTTTTTACAGTAGTACAAAAAAAATATTGATTACAAGTTTAATCTAAGCATATCCATAAGTACCTAACGTCTGACATTGACAATTTGCGCAATTAATTTCCAGTTGTCAGTTAAAATTTTAATATTATGTAAAATACTGTTAAATAAAATTTGAAATAAAAACAATCGTAGAAAAAATGTTGCGTGCAACATGTGCAAAAAGCATATTTGTTGCACTTAACATGATTGCAGCTCTCAACTTCGTCTCGAGCTGCAAACTTCATGCATCGTACAACAAATACACACTCTTTACAGTAGTTGCACAAATAACTGTTTGAATGTCGCAGAAACTTTTATTAAATAGAAGTACAATGAAAACGAAACTAAGAAATAATTTATTATCAAAAAGAGAAAAAACAAAAAACTTAGTTAAAGGACATTTTCAAAATAATTGCCATTTCTTTCTAAACACAACCTAACACGTTTATCAAAGTTGTTACGGACTCGAGCAAAAATTATGGGATTGTTGCGAATCTCATCAGCCGCCGCGAATATTCTTTCCTGTAGCTCTTCAACACTGTCAACTGGGGTCGCATAAACAATACTTTTTATATGTCCCCAAAAGAAAAAATCCATGGGCGTTAGATCGGGAGAACGTGCAGGCCAAGAGATAGGTGCCTCATTGCCGCGACCTATCCAACGATTCGGGTAATTTAAATTAAGCCACCGCCTAACTACTACAGTGCTGTGAGCAGGAGCCCCGTCATGCATGTACCACATAGCCTGACGTACATATAATGGTACTTTCTCCAGAAGTGGTGGTAGATGCTCATTTAAGAACTGCAAATATTCAACAGCACCAAGTCGATGAGGTAAAACAAAAGGGCCGACAAGCACATTTTTTAAAATTCCTGCCCAAATATTTAAACTAAAATTAGGTTGAAATGTTGTCATAGATACTTCGTGAGGATTTTCATGAGCTCAGGAATGAAGATTGTGCATATAAACCATGTCTTAGAATATTAAGATACGATTCGCAAAAAACAACTCGCTTATGCAAGTCCAGTTCAACTAGAACTTGAACTGGCCGGTGGTAAAAAGGATATAATAAATTATCATGGACAATATTCCAAACAACACTATGGGACACATTTAAGTGCATTGCTATTTTTCTCGTACTAGTCTAACGATTTTCGTTAAACTCTTCAAGTACCGCATCCTCAAGATAAATAGTACGAACAGTAGGTCTTCGGCCGGTACCCTCAATATACGACTGAATTTTTCCAATTTCCCGAAGTCTTCGTTCTACCGCCGAAAAAGTTTGTCTGTGGGGAACTTGACGATTTAGATATCTCTCATTATACGCTCTTGTTGCCGCAGCACAGTTTTTGCGACATTCAAAATACACTTGTAGCATGTCCACATATTCATCATTAGTAAAATTTGGCATAATTCTTGTTAATTTACACCCAAAAAGTATTTAGCTGATAACAGTGACAACTTACAGAAGAGTTAATTGTGACAACTGGCATGACAGCAGCACACTTAGTTTTTCTTTGATTGATTGCAATCATATACGGTGTGAGGTGAATGGTAATACATTTTATTTTTTTATTAATAAACGAAAAGTTTTAAAGGAAAATTGCTAGAGAGGTAAAAGTTTCTAAAAGAACCAGTTTATCTAATGCGTATTTTTGGATATCGAGTTTTTACGAAATATAAAAGTTATGGCAAAAAATGGCTTGAGGGGTGGTTATTTCAACCCCTTTCGAGGGGTTAAAGTTTTCAAAAAATAGTTGAAAACTCGCATCTGTATTAGTAAACAACCTGTAAAAAATTTGTTATTTGTACCTCGTTCGGTTTTCAAATTACAGCCAATTTTCATAATTTTTTTGGAAACTCTGATGGCCCATATCTCTTCAGGGGTGAACATTTTACTAAGGCGATTTTTTGCAGATCGTGTTCTTTTGAAATGTAGATTTATGCTACTCCATTCAAAAACACCATGTATAAGAAAATAACAGTTTCTAATTAATATTTTCGAGGGGTGCATTTAGGGGCATATTATGTTAATTAGAACTTTATTTGTTGTTTTGTTGTACAGTGGTGTACCAAATAATTCAAATTGTTAGGTATCAAATACTAATCTTCAAATTTAGCCCTGAGGTGCTAAGTAATTACACTCAAAAATTGAACAGTAAATACTACAAGTATTTCCAATAAATTTATCAACTTCTTCATGCTTTAATTTATGAATTAATTCATGAACTTTGTGTTAAACTGTTGCTCTAATAGACAGTCGCAGCAGATGACGACGCAAGTTGAATTTGAGTACCTATTATTATACTAAACAAATACTACTGCAACTCGGCTTCATTGTTAAGCAGAGCACCGATTTACGGAATCGTTATTTTGGTAAACACGGCATGCGACTCGTATGCGGGTCACATGAGGATAAACAAGTCGTTGTTTGCACCGCTGCCACTTTCCGTCTCCAGGATAAACACCGTCTAGTTCAGAGACAAGTTTGCTGAAATTTACGTTTAAAATTCCGCTCATTCTTCCAGATAACGTCCTGGGAAACAGGACTGACGTACTCTTTCGGTATAAAACCCTTAAGACATAAGAAATATTTCTTTGAATTGTCTCAGTTAACAAGATCTTATATTGGCAGGTGCGAAACCATATCAAAGAGACATTCTAACTTTTATTTTATAAAGGGTGTTTCTTACGAAATGTAGGTATTCATGATTAAAGTTAAGGCAATAAGCTTAAATAAACATAGGGTTCAAAGGCTGTCTTTTTTGAACGACTGGGTTTTCAAAACTACAAAAATAGTTATTTACATGATAAAGGAGGTAAGTATTATTTACCAGTCGAGGACGATTGGATAGATTCCGAGACTGATAAATTAT